ACATTTATCATAAAAGCAATAAAAAAATTACTGAAATACAATAAATATTAATTTTAGTATATATAATTATATAATAAATAAAGATTAAGAGTTTAAAATTATTATTAATAAACACTAATTTTTTTGAAAGTTAATTTCTCGAATTATTACTAGATGTAAGTGAAATTAGTTATTTACAATATTATGTAAAAATATTAAATTATTATTAATTTCAATGTTATGTTATGATTATTTTTCTACTTTTCAATTTTTTTTTTAAATTTATTACATTGTTTCTTTATTTTAACTGTTTAAAATCTAGTTATGTTAAATATTTTGTTATTTAAAATACCTAGTTATTTAAATACTTAAATAATATGTAAAATATTTAAATTTTAAAATATTAGTTATTTATGGAGTTTAATTATCCATAAAATCATAATTTATATTATTATTACATAATTTCATTATGAATTTTGTAATATATTAAATTATTATTAAGTTCAATATTATGTTATAACTATTTTTTTTCTTTAAAGAAATTTTGTAAATTTATTACATAATTTCGTTATTTTAACTTTTTAAAATCTAGTTATGATAAATATCTCATTATTTAAATATTTAAATAATCTATAAAATATTTAAATTTTTTTGTTATTTGAATTTTATTTATTTAAAGCTATTACATATTATTAAATGTTTGAAAAACATTTAAATTAATCAATTCAAACATTTAAATTAATGATCCGTAAAAACATATTTTAAATTGTTAGTACATATTTTCGTGATATATTTTGTAAAAATATAAAATTATTTTTTGTGTTTTAATAAATATTTTAAAGTTAAAGTTATTATATAATTTTTTTAGAATATTTAAATAATTCTTAAATTTTCTTATCCAAACTTTCTTTAGATAGATATAGATAAAAATTAGGGGAGAGGATAAATAGGACTTAGAGATAATTTAGGAGAGAAACTCTCTACTAAATTAGAGATAATTGTGGAGATAAATCGGAATTATAGATAATTCTGGAGAAAGTAGGGGAGGTAGTTTAGGAGAAAAGATTATTTAGGTTATTGGGAAAGTGCATCTCATTGGTTGTTTCAAAAATGATATGGAATAAAAAAAACAAAAAAGGAAAAAAACTCTTGACCGCTTTGTTATATATATATATATTATTTATTTTAGTAAATTATTTATTTATTTAGAAATATTATCTTTCTCAACTTTTATTTATTCATTTATCTATTCTATTTATTATTATCTAAACATTTATTTATTTATTTTATTAAATTATTTATTTATTTAGAAATAATTTACTAACAAATTATTCTCTCCCCTTGAGCCCAATATTTAGTGTTGTCAACGGGTCGAGTCTGGTTCGAGATAGCTATACCAGTCCCATCCCAATAGACTTTTCATTTATTTAACTAATTTATTTAAGAAAATCTAGGGTTGAACCATTGGGTTGGGTCTATCCTGATGAAGTTAAATTGACTAAACATAATTCTAACGGTTTTGGTTCCATGATTTTGTCTTGATTAATTATTGGATTAATTCTTATTCTTACCTGTCTAGAATTGATTCAGGTCCAGAACCAAATATTTTATGAAGTATATAATTTTTTATCTTTTTTGTATTTTTATCATGTTTCATGTTTGAAATAGTAAATTTGATAAATAATAAATATGATAGTATTAGTTAAAAATGTTTAACTTATTAACATAAAAATAAATTAGTATTATTTTGACTATTGTTTTCAATTTAATGAGGTCTATGACTAATGCAGATTTCTGATTTCCACTGCAAAGCTATAAACATTCAAATAGGCATGAAAATTTATTTTGACTATTTTGACTATCATGTTTCATGTTTAACTTCTCCAAATAGGCATAAAAAAATTATATCTCCAAATGGCATTTTTAAATTTTTCTATTGTAAAGCAGGGGCTTTCCTAGCTAGTTTTAATCTAAGATACATTGACCCAAAAATTGGTGGCCAAAAAGTTCCATTACAGGTCAGTTTTTAAAACCTTGAAATAAACCCCAATTTGAAAATTGAAATGTTCAATATAAAACAACTGCATATCTAACATTTGATACTCCTAAGGGTATTGGGTTAATACCCTTCCTACAGTCAACGGATGTCGTGACTCTTATATCAATTCTTAAAGTCTTAAATTTTAATCTAAGTTTAATGCTTGTTTAAATTAACTGATACCCAAAAATTATACAAAAAGTAAAGGCATGCCTAATGCAGATTTCTGATTTCCACGGTAGGGTTATAAACATTCAAAATGTCCAAAATCCACACTTTATGCACCCATACCCGCCCATGAATTATCATCAATTATGAGCTGGCACCTACTCCAAATGTACTTTGAACCTACAAATTCTGACCCTGCGCATCATTCTCCCAAAATTATATATTATGTAATATATCGATACTCTGAACATCAGAGCCAACATCATCTGGCCCAATTATGGATCCGGATCTCATGCACAATACAACTTGCACATCCTATCATAATGTGCCAGGTCAGCATTATACGCTTGAACTTTTAGATGTATGAACCAATTAACGGATGTTAGGAAAATTTCTGTTTCTTTTGTTTTTTTATTTTTAAATATTAAATAAATTAAAACAAAGACGAGAAAAAAAACCCTTTTCTCCTTTAGCAAGGGTTTTCAAGAAAATGATTTGCCTAATCTTTCAAATAAACTCTATTTCTAATCTGCAAAAAAGGGAAAATATAAGATTTGCTGTTTATTTTCACATTTATTTTCATGTTTCCTTTATTCTACCTGCAACGGAGGAAAATCACTCAGACACCAAGTCACAATTCCTCTTTCATAATCTGAAACAAATCTCCACATGGGGCTTGGGTAAGTGAACACCTGACAGGCTGGATCTCTTCATTTCACTCCATGTGTTCAATCTCCACATCTTCGTACAACATCGCTGCTGTTCTTTACTATCTTTTGACATCACAACTTGGGAGACGGAACAAAGTTTGACCAACGGAGCTTGTCATAATTTGTTTCAACTTTATGGCCTTTGAGTCACTTTGCATTTATCTTAATTTTTCCTCTTTGTAAAAGTCTTCTCATAGCAAATTAAACAGTTCAGAAACTTATACATAGATTTCTCTTCTTGAAAAGAAATGATGAATGTGCACTGCATCCACGGCAATTTAATACTTATAGGATTTTGAATCTGCTGCAGCAAGTAATGAGCTACAAAATCAATCACGAGCGGATACACCAGTGCTCTATACACATGAGTGATGAGACCCATGTGTGGTGTGGGCTCATATGAGTTTTATGTGTACATAATATTCGCATATTCACTTGCTTTTGAACTGGTGTTGACCCAGACGGTCAATTTCAGTTTGATTAATTATTCGATTTATAGCTCGATGAATAAAAAAAAAATTCTCAATTAGAATTGGATTCAAATGGAACCTAATTAAATTCGAACTTGAACTATTCAATTAAAACTAAGGGTAAGCAAAAAAAACCAAAAAATCGAATTGATCGAAAAAAATCGATTGAAATTGAACCGAAAAACTGGTTAATCAAATTGGTCGATTCGGTGTTTTTAAAAAACCAAAGGTACTCGTTTGATTTTGGTTAACTAATATAAAAAACCGGCGGTTAATCGAACCGATCGATATACATATTTTTTATATATTTTATATATACTTATGTATAGTATATATATTTTTTATATATTTTTTATATTATTAGTTAATAAATATGTATTATATATAAATATATAAATATATAAATATATATATATATATATTTATAATTTTTTATTATATATTATAAAAACTAAAAACCCAAAAAACTAGCAAACTGAACCGATGATTAACCGAACCGATCAACTGGTTAACCAATTGATTTCGGATCAATTCCGACTACTGATTTTCTAAAAACCAGTACTATCGATTTAGATAAAAAAGGGCACCCCTAATTAAAACTTAGTTCGATTGTAGTTAGATCTCTTCGTATGGATCGGATAGCCCAATATACCGCCCTGGCCTAGCCCGTTTTAAATTTAAACCCACAAACATAAAGTCTGAGATTTTGAACTTCGAATTAGGCTTGATCAGAACACTCATGCCTTTTAATTGGATCTGGGGTTCAATCATCAGAAAACCTGAGCCCGACCTGGCTAACCAAAATTGTAACCACATTTTATTTTATGGTACACCTATCTATGTAGACAAATACAATATATAACGTATATAATAAATTTGTGATAAGTTCACATCCTTGTATATGAATAATATGAGTACTATATATAAATAGTTAATATTTATATACAAGCAGGCATGCATGCATGCATCTTTATCCAAATTAATGTATACACGTGGGTGCTCATTGGGATAAAGTTTCTCTATGCAGTAGATCAGATTCAGACACAGCAATTGACTATATTATTTTATTGTTTATGAAAAAATGAAAAGAAAGAAAATAGAGATAATACTGACGATTCACATCATGCATTCTCTCTCTCTCTATATATAGACCATAATATTAAAGCGTATGTTTCATATTTTCTATCTGGCTAGGATGTGCAGTTCTCCTTCGGCAGGGCTACACTTATTTAATTACCTCCGTATATATATTGTCAATTAAACTGCAAGTAATTAGTAAAGCTAATAATAAAGATTAGTAATTTACTGAACCCCAAGGCGGCCTTTCCTGTATCTTGACCATTAATCCGTGTTTCATCTGACAAATTATGCTTGGTTTCTTGGAGACGGGTAGAACCTCATCAACCAGTTCAACATGGAAATTAAAGAGCAGAGTGGCAGCAGCCAACTTCATCTGGGTAAAAGCCATTTCCCTACCTACGCAGGTTCTGGTTCCAGTGCTGAATGCGAATAAATTGGACATGATCTTTTGAAGATCTAGCGTTCCATCATCACGAATTCATCTCTGGTGCTTGAACTCCAAACAGTCCTCTCCCCATATCCACGGCATCCTCCCAACGGCATAATGGGAGAGTACTACATACATCCCAGATTCCCAGGCCGGACGACGCTGCCATCGGGGAGTACATCTTCCTTGAGAACTCCTCTGGTGTTGAATTTAACCGGAGGATATAGCCTCAAGGTTTCACAAAATGCCGCATGCAAGTACACCAACCCTGACATCACCTTCATCAAACACCACCCATGGCCGCCATATCCTTCGTTCTCTCTCATCAGTATTCCCTTCACCTGCAGCAATTTATTCATCTTCTCAGAGAATACAAACCCTAATTCTTCCAAGATCTTTGCTTCTACATGTGGGTTCTTACAGACCAACCAAAAGAACCAACTAAGGGATGCAGCGGTTGTGCTTTGTCCAGCGATATTGAAGGTGAGCATGTTGTCTCTGAGGAGCTTGTCACTGACGTCTTTTTGAGACTTGATGTAGATGGCCAATGTGGTATTTGTTTCCACTCCTTGAAGCAATTCTTCTCTTGTCTGGGAAATGAACTCGGCCGACAAGGCATCTCCAGTTGCCCATGCCTTTGAATACTTCTTCTCCGTTCCAACCTTCAACCAGCGCATCAACTTCCAAACAAACGTAGGCAATGCAAACCTATAAAGCATGGCCTCCTCTGCATTCTCAACCACTTGGAGGAATTCATTAGTAGGGAATTCTGGAGACAGATAGCCCAAATCTCTTCCATATACCGTAGCAACGGTGGTCTCAAACGTGAATCGAGACATCACATCTTTCAGATCAAGACAACACCCTTTCCTCGCCAGATCAACTAACAATGGAATGAGCTTGTCGTCGACTATCTTCCTGGTAACGTCCGCGAGGAAAGTCCGAAACTGGGCAGACCTGAAACTTGAATGTGCCATCTTTCTTTGTGTGGACCATTTATCAAAATCAGCGTTAAATAGTCCATCTCCAAGAATGTCGAATTTCTCGAAGACTCCCAAGAACTTCAGTGAGCGCAATTGAGGCATCTTGTAGCATGGTCGCCATAGAGTTTTGTAGACATCGTAAATTTGTGCCGAGTTGTGAATTCGTCGTGGGTATTTTTGTAGCATTGGTTTAGCGCTTTTCTGTGCTATTGCGGTCCCCTAGCTAATGGGAAATTTTCACTTTGTTTCTCCAAACTGGCATGTATATCGGGCCAAGTTCAATTAATTTTGTAAGATTTAAAGGCTTGAGAAATCAGACAAGATGATTGATTGATCAAATAATTGATTTCTTCATATATAATGGAGTTCTGAGTTAGTAGTCCCTTCACGGCAACGTCCTTCACCCTTAAAAATTAAGAAATAAAATTCTTAGGTGGAAGACTTGAGTGGAAGATTTAACGGCCAGTTTGGAAAGAGTATAAATACAAATATGCATGGTGTAAATACATACAAAATAATATAAAATACATGGTACGAGATTTTTAAATTTCCAAACTAAGCCTAACAGAATTCAAATTTCCAAAACTTTAAGGTTACTTTAAGTAGGTTTTTAAATTTTAAGACATTTTAAGTATTTATAAGGTAGTTAAGGGGTAAGTAATTAGCCTTTCTAAAAATCACTATTGATAAACAAAACGTGTGTTGCTTCCTAAGAGTAGACAATTGTTTTATATTTTAATTTTTTAAATAACTAATAACAATTTATATTTTATATACTATTTTTATAATTATTTAAAATACAAAAATAATAATAATCAATTTTCAACTAGGACTATTCATCAACCCGATGAAACCGATCAACCTGACTTAATTCGACTCGAGTTAGTCGGTTTTCTTGTATTTTTGGTCGGCTTTAGTTTAGCATCTATCAACTCAACTAGGTCAGGTTAGTTTCGGTTTGACCATATGTAAACTAACCAAAACTGAATCGACTCAATCATAGATATATGTTAATATTTTATAATACAAGAAAGTGGGAAATTTCCCACATTTCTTAAGTCTAAAATATTTTATATTATAAATTAAATTTTTTTAATAATAGCACTGTAATTTTTTAAATTTAAATTTTATTTTTTAAGTTTAAACCTTTTAAACAATCGACTGAACTAAAAATTGATACAAACTGCCAATCCAAATCGGCTAGGTCTCTTCATCAAACTGATGAAATCGGCCAAACTAACCAACCAGACCCAACTTGACCCGAGTTGGTTGGTTTTCTAGGATTTCTAATCGGCTTCAGTTCAACAACACTACATGACCAAGTCAAGTTAGTTTTGGTTTGGCCATTTGTAAATTGAACAAAACAGAATAAACGCAACCATAGATATATAATAATATGTATAATTTAAATATAGTTTTTAATACAAGAAAGTGGGAAAATTCCCATATTTCTTAAGTCTAAAGTATTTTATATTGTAAATATAAAATTTATAATTTATAATTTTAATAATACCATTGCAACTTTTAAATTTAAAATTAGATTTTTAAGTTTAAATATTTTGAACCGATCGACCAAACCAAAAACCAACCCAAACCGGCTAGGGCTCTTCATCAAACCAAAGAAATTGGATAAACCAACCAACCAGATCTAGATCAACCCATGTTGGTCAATTTTGTAGTATTTCCTGTCGGCTTCGGTTCAACAACTTCCCAACCCGACCCGGTCGGGTCGGTTTCAATTAGGGGTGTAAACAGATCGAATTCGAATGGAATCAAGCAATATTCGAATTCGAATTTGATTAGAAAATCTGATATCTAAATTTGAATCCAATTAAATATTCGAATATTCAATTCGATTAATTAATTATTTTAGATAATTAATAAATATTTTATTGATATAAAGTATACAAATATATAAATTATTTATATAACTTAATTATTATATATAAATTATATAAAATATTTTATATATTATATATAAGAATTAAATAGTCAGTTAAATTCAGATATTTATCAAATAGAATCATGTCATATCTGAATCCGAATTCGATTAACTATTCTATAAGAATAGGATATCCGAATTCGACCGATTAGATATTTGAATTATCCGAATTTGATTTGATTATGTCGAATATCGAATTCGAAATCGAACTTTCGAATACCGTTGACACCCTAATAGCACCCAACAATTTGTTTCCCTAGACATTGACATATTATTATTACTATTAATTGAAAAGTGAAAATTTTAGATGATGATGATAATAATAATAATTTTCAATGACTTTTTATACTTTTGTCCATAAACACAATTCTTATTTATCACTTATTTGTTTAATATGATGTTTATTTGAAAGTACACATTAATAGCACCCTACAACTTATTTCCCTAGTCTTCCATATGTTAGACAGTGTAAGCCCTTAGCTCCAATCAGAATGATGTACATTATGACATTTAATGTAAATGAATAAAGTACATAGTTGATTCATGTTATTATGGTGCGTTTCTGTGTAATACCCTTAAACTGAACATATATGAAACTCATGTTAGTTTAGAATCTTCACAGCCGTTGAATAGATCTGGGGAGATTTATCCTGCCAAGGCTGACACTGATGTTCCGCCAAATTGGTTGGGGTGGCTTGTCTTAGCTGCCAGAGTGAGACCTAAGGTACATGTAGTGTGGGTTTTCTTGAAACCCTGAACCGGACCAAAATTCCAGTATTGCCCTGGACCTTGGAGATAGATGGGCAAAACTGGAATGTTACACTTGACCCCTAGACTCGATTATGATACT